ATTTAGAATTTATTTGATTCTTTATCCAACCCCATTCATAAGTGCATTATGTCTGAAATTGTGAGTTAAGATCAGCATGTCAACCTAAATTTGTTGTTAAATATTTCCTTTTATAAATAAAAATCAATTTTGTTTAGATTAATCACCTTCATCAGGAACTAGATAGAGCTTTCAATTCTGATATACGTCAATGGCCTATTCAGACTATAAATGGTGTGCCAACCTAAAAAATAACATTGATTACAGTATGTACATCTACAAATACATGGAGGCAGCCATCCAGAATAGAAATTGGGATGACCATAAAGATTGGCAAAATATATAAAATTTTAGGGCAGAACTGGCATACACAATTTTTTGCACAACCATAAAATAGCTTTGTATGTATATTATTTAGTTTAATTTATAAAATAACTGCTAATCGATGCTATTTTTTAGTAGAAAAAAATATTTCTAATATAATTTTCCTAATACACGTCTACAAGCAAGCTTAGAAAGCTTCCAATTGAATAGATTGGCATATTATATATTTCTTTGTATTATTATGTGCAAGCTTTAATACAATATTATACATTGTAATACACAATAATACATAGTATGTATTAGAGAAAAAACTAAATTTATCATATAATTTTTCTAATAAACATCTGCAGGCAAGCTTAAAAGCTTCCAACTAAAAAAATTAACACACTATATGTTGCTATATTTAATCTTTGATGCAAGCTTATACATAATAATACACAACAATAAGCAATTTGTATTAAACAAAAAAAGAACTAAATTTCCCACATAACTTTCTTTATACACATCTATAAGCAAACTCAAAAAGCTTCTAACTGAATAAATTAGCACAATGTGTAATGATGTATACAAGCTTATACAAAGCAATACACAGTAATACACATTGTGTATTAGAGAAAAAAAATTCTTATATAATTTTCCTAATACACATCTATTAGCAAGCTCAAAACCTTCCAACTAAACAAATTAGCACACATTGTATTACTGTGTATTATTGTGTATTTCTTTGTACAAGCTTATACATAGTAATCTACAATGTGTATCAAAGAAAATAAACTAAATTCCCCATTATATTTCCTAATACACATTTGTAGTAAGCTTAAAAAGCTTCCAACTGATCAAATTGGCACACTATATATTGTTGTGTATTATTTTGTACAAGCTTCAGTACAAGCTTATACACAATGATACATAGCAATACACAGCAATATACATTGTGTATCAGATAAAAGAAAACTAAATTTTCACATTAATTGCCAACAAATATTAATCATATAATTAATTTTTACAATACACAATGAAATTTTATATCAAATATTTTGTTGGATGTGTTAAATATCAATTATTATAATGCAATAAGTATACATCATCCATTTTATTTAAGGAAATGAAATTCATCATTATCCTTGTGTATTCAAGTGTTGGTTGGCTACTTATTACCCCATGAATAAATTCCTTTGTGAAGCATTCTTGCATGTTTAAGATCTTGATCAACCTTGATGGTGAATATTGTTCTGTTGTAGTTACCTCTATGATAGGTTTCTTACTATTAAGATTTATTTTCTTCTCCCACGGTTCCTTTAACCTTACATTAGAGATGCCTTTAGGCCTACACTTTGGTGGGTCTTTCAATTTTTTAATCCTACCCATATTGCCAACGAACTTGTGGTTCTTTTCTTCCTATTAAGGATCAAGTCTATATTTTCAGTAATATCCTTCATCATATACAACATGTATTGTTCAGCCTCCTCATTCTCTTGTGCTCATGTGCTAATTTTATATGTAAATCTAGTTGGTTGATTTCTAAATATCATACCACTACATGCCTCAGATGTCATGTCTTTCTTTTCCAAACTTGTTAACATGCAGCCAGCATATACATCTTTTCTAGCTCTTGCTAACCATTGTAGTAGTAATTACTTCACATAGATATTCATAATATCTAGTTGCCTTATAACTCTCATACAGTGAGAACATAATAAGTCTATTATCTCAAACTTTCTATAGGTGCTTTGAATGGTATCTTTTTTGCATCAAAATGAATATTTCAAAGGGTTGACAGCTGGTCCTTATTCTTTATGATATTGATTAAAAACTTTAATGAATCACTTAAGGTATGGTTCATACACATTCCACTCGCACCCTGTAAAACTTCTTCTTCAAAAAATAAATATAGTTTTCTTGAATAAAATCAACCATATTGCTTTAGTATTGAGCTGCTTTTTATTAAAAGTACTCATTCAAACTGGCTACATTTGTAATCTTCATCATGTTCATTTAGGTGCCTTGTCATCACCCCCTATAAGCCCAAAAAATAATATGTTATATAACTTGTTGGCTTTGAAATGTCATGATACACATTATTAGTAAACTCGTTATGCTATGTTGATAGAATGTTCATGCTGAAATAATCCTTATTAAATGTTGTTGACCACTTATTCCTTATCATATAAGGCTTCTTCAACCAATCATGATTGTGGAGGATCCATTTTATGATTATTTTAGCCCATATTTTCTCAAACTCCTCTTTAAAGTCAGACTTTCTCAAACACTTATAAAATAGTTCTTTGGCTTTATTCTTGTTATTAAAGCACCTGACTTTTGATAGAACCTTTTAGAAATTTGTCATTTGCACAGTCTATGGTGAGTATCAGGTGATGCAACTTCTATGCCCCTAGCCATTGCTTGGTTCTGATTAATAAATATTATTATTGGATATTTATCACTAATTATTCATATAAATTTTCTAAATAGCCACATAAATGATTCAATTATTTTCTCTGACAAAAAGGCCAACCCAAGCAATTTTTTTTGCCAATGATTATTAACTCCAACAAATGGTACACATATTAAATTATACTTATTAAGCTTATAACTAGTATAAAAAATTACCACATCACCAAAACAATCATAATCTATCATTCCCATCCCATCAACACCAAAAAAGTTTAATAATCTATCAAATTTATCAATTTGATCATTCCATATAAATATATTATCATCAGCTTGTTTATCTTTAAATAGTTGAATTAATGAGTTAGTGTTCACTTATTTAATCTTTGCTTTTTTCTCATTCTAAATGTAATTATATGGATCCCTCTTAGATAATCCAATATCTTTAATACCTCCAACTTTATCAGTAAGGTAGGTAAAGCATCGACGATTCTTATCTCAGCTTCTGTTATTGATTTAAGAACTAATGCTTCCTCATGACTAATATTTATATATGATATAAGTAGATGTTAGTCTTCTAACCTAGCTAATTCATGATTATATCATTCTATGCATTTTTCACCTTCCAAATTCCATCTTCGTCCACCATAAATCTAATAATAAGAGGACACCTCATTTTGGTATCTGATTTTCAAAATTTTGTTTGCGAATTTAAGTCAATTCCCTTCTTGAAACTAGCTTTTAAATAGATAAAGTCTTTACATCTTATTTTTTTAGAATTTGGCTAGTAATTGATATGTTCTTTATGAATATTAAAACTAATATTATGAGTATACCTACAATACATATCGTGTGCTTTCTTCTCACAATTATAAACTCCATGCAATGCATATTAACTTATAACTATAGTGAAAAAGTTTTCAATTAAACCACATTGTATAAAAGCTTTAAACTGAAAAAAAAAATAACACTGTGTATTACTGTGTATTTCTATCTATTGCAATATACAAGCTTTGATACAAACTTATATACAAGAATACGCAATAATACACAGTAACACACAACTATACACAATAATATACTACAATACAAGCTTTGATATAACTTATACATAGAAATATATAGCAATACATAGAAAATACACAAAAATACACATCAATATAATCTTTCATAGAAGCTTATACACAACATTTCATAGAAATATATAATAATATATATTTTAATACAAGATTATACACAAAAATACACAGCAATACATAGTAATACGCAACAATAAACATCAATAAATAATATGTATTAGAAAAAATAACATATTTTCAATATAATTTTCCTAATACACAGTTGTGTACAAACTCAAAAAGCTTTCAAATGAATATACACAATAATATGTATTGCTATAAACTTGTATTTAAGCTTGTACAAAGCAATACGAAGTAATATATAGCAATACATAATATGTATTAGAAAGAATAAATATATTTCTAACAAAATTTCTCTAATTACATTATAAAAAAATTTTGAAGAGTACACTCTAAACCCTAAAAAGCTATACATTTACATTAAAAATTTTTAAAAAATTGAAAAAATTGTTTTATATAGTTGTTGAACAAAAGAATGATTCTTCGTAGCATTCAACATATAAATAATTGATGAATGTACCCTCAATCCTAAAAAACTATATATTTACATGAAGTACATTGAAACTCATGAGTTTAAAATTTATCGATAATAACCTCAATTTATCTTCAATGGTAGGCTATAGTTAACCCTTTTGAACGTTTTGCATACTGCATCTCATTGAAGAATACAACGTACTCCAAACCAATTTTCATTTTTATCACGTGTTTCTTACATTCTTCTCAGCATGCATCAAAAGTGATATTCTGTTCATAAGAATTCTAAATACTTAGGCATTTTTGCGAGTTTTCTTTAAAAAAATGTAAAAATTGAACTGAATCAAATTATCAAATTGCAAGAAAAATAATATGAATATTAGAAAATCACATGTTAGCATTTTTGTCCGGACTCCACAGTCTACGGCAGCATTCTAGACCTTCTCCGCTGATGCGATGGTGACCTCAGCGCCACGGAAGATGGAACTCGTGGTCAGATAAAATATCGCTGGATCTCTTAAAGCTTTTGGTCAAAGCGTAGATGACGACGGCAACCGTAAGCGATTTCTTTCTGGGTATTTCTATAAATTGCGAAACCCTAATTCTTTTGATCCAAGCAAGAAGCAGAAGATTTTTATTCAATTGTCTCAGTAGGAATCCGACTTAGAAAGCAGAGCTACCCGATCTTGATCAATGGCAACGAAGATTTACATAGTGTAAGTTTGAGCGACTTCTTCTTCTTCTTCTTCTTTTTAAGCTATGTCATCATTACTTATCTGAAAGTTTTGCTTATTGGAATTCTGCGGTCGATGGTTTGGGTAATTTATTGATTGGAATTAAATCACCAATTTTGTGTTTTTTTCATCCGTGATTAGTTTCTTCTTAAATGACGAGTTTTTTTATCTGTAGCTGTTGCGCTTTCTGCTAGTCATCTGTTTGCTGTATTGCGTGAATGGAAGTTGCCGCCATCTGTTACTTTGTTGTGGACATTCTCTTGGCCTGTCATCGTTTTAATCCATTTTTTGTATTTTATTTATTTGTTTCTTCATGAATTTTCTCTGTTTTCAAACCCCAAAAAAAAAAATTTATGCAACATGTACTTCCCTCACAATTCAAACAACAGTAATTTGAATGCAAGATTTCACAACTTCTATAGCGTGGCAACTTATATTGGAACAAAGTACTTCTTTTCACAATAAAACAGTTGTTATGAGGTTGATTAGATTATGCATAGTTTATCATTTAAGATCCCTTTAAATGTTAATTATTTTTATTTTTGAGCTAAAATCTTTTTTTTCATCTAATTATTTTTCATATTTATTACTTCAGGTATTACTCTACGTATGGGCATGTTGAGAAGCTTGCTCATGAGATATCAAAGGGCGCCTCATCAGTTGAAGGTGTGGAGGTCAAAGTGTGGCAGGTGAGTTCTTGTTTTGTGGCATCAGTCATCTAGTTTTAATTTTAAATGGAGGTCTTCTATGTGTTTTGAGATGATTGGTTTGATTTGTATTTGCATAATTTTTATTTTTTTTATATTTTTAAGTTTATGGTGTCAACTCTCACCATTTTTTTAAGGAACTTGGAGCCCTGCTTTTGCCTTGTTTTACTAATGATATCATGATGATTGCCGAGTAAACTTAACATGTTCTTCCATGCTTTAATTATTGATTTTTTTAATATGAATATGTGTCAACTTTTAACATTTATTACTAATAGGTCAACTTTCATCAGTTGGTTACAAAGATTGCTCAAACAGCTAGGCTTCAGTACCTTACAATTTCTCAAGAAGGATACTTGTGATTTTCTTCATGTTTTTTTTTTTTTTTTTTACTTTTTTCTCCATTTGTCTACATTTCCATGCTTGCTTCAACTGTATATACTTGGTAATTGGTCCTTATTTTGCAATTGATTTCTTTATAGGTTCCTGAGACGCTACCAGAAGAAGTCCTTGGCAAGTTGCACGCACCTCCCAAGGGTGATGCGCCAATCATCACAGCCAGTGAACTAGCTGAAGCTGATGGGATCCTCTTTGGCTTCCCAACTAGATTTGGAATGATGGCTGCGCAGTTCAAAGCATTCTTTGATTCCACTGGTGGCCTTTGGAGAACTCAACAGCTCTCAGGCAAGCCTGCAGGGATCTTTTACAGCACCGCTTCTCAGGGCGGTGGCCAGGAAACTACCGCGTAAGTACTTTCCCACAGTGAAACTATTTGGTTTGTTGAAAACTTAATTGTAAAATTAAACATTTTCATTAAAGTTTTGTTTGGGACAGCTTTCTTACTGTTTCTTAAAGAAGCTTTTTAGTACAAAGATCCTTTTGAGAAACTTTTCTCAAAAATACAACTTTCAGATTTCACTCACTGCTGCCGTTTTCTTTTCATGCAGCTTGACTGCCATCACTCAGCTAGTTCACCATGGAATGATCTTTGTGCCCGTTGGCTATACTGCTGGGCCTGGAATGTTTGAGATTGAGAAAGTGAAGGGTGGTTCTCCCTATGGTGCCGGAACTTTAGCTGGGGATGGGACGAGGCTTCCTTCTGAGCTTGAACTGCAGCTTGCCTTCCATCAGGGCAAGTACTTTGCTGGCATTACAAAGAAGTTCAAGGCTTCTTCTTGATCTCTCATCATCTCTATACTTCCATCACTGTTATTGAACCGTTTGAATTTCTTATGAAGAATAAATTACAGAAATTTGTACTCAGGATTTCTCTTCTCGCCACAGCTTCTCTTCTATGTATACGTTTTCTCTATTATGTTAGTGAATGTGTTTCCTTCTCTGTGCTATCCTTTTGAAGATTTTATTTGAAGTCATTTCCTATTAAATATAAACATAAAACGTAGAAAATAAAGAAATGAGAATAGTTCAGCTAAAAAGAAAGCTAAACAAATTGCTGTGAAAGTGAAAGATTCAGATGAAAGGAAGGTGGCAATCTCAGAATGGGGATGAGATTGCCCTTATGACAAACATATTCGATTCCTTTCTAAAGCACATAAAGTAGAGAAATAATGACAAAAGGAGAAACATGCAAAATAAAAGGTAAAACTTTTGTTAAAACAATTCTAACTTATTTATTGCTTTGTTTGTAAGAAATTGGATCATATAAAGGGATTGTCTTAATAATGTCAACAATGATGGAGAAATGAAGAATGAAGAAAAGTGATGATTTTGTTGGTTTTGTATGAGAATATGAGTACCATGCTAAATAAGATTGATATTATAAAAGGAATGAAGAACAAAGAAAATACAATGAGAATAGAATTCCAATGCTAGAAGCTAGATTAATCATTATTATAACTGATAATAATAAAAATTACTTCCACGAGTAGGCCTTCTTCGTTTCCTTTTTTGGAAGTCCATCTCCAAGAGTCTAGTGATTCACACACAAGAGATTCTTCACTTGAGTGAAAGCGAACACAGGAAGAGTATAAAACTCGAGAAATAATTTATCATTTAATAATCAAGAGCTTAACATTACAAGAAGCTCTTGTAATGTTAAGGAATGAAAGGAAAAGATCAAAATATATAAGACTAAATCCAAATTCAAACCAACCACCAAACATTTTGGCAACATCATTTTTTTCACACCTATCATCACTATCATATCAACCACTATTATCATTCATACTATCATTATCAAATCTACTACAAATGTTATTTTCATGAAATCTCTACATGGGCCATGTCATAAGAAATTATTCAATACATATGAGCTCAAAATGTAGCATTACAATAAAAATGCCCAAAAATTACTTTACTATGAGCAAACTTGATAGCATGTTCGATGTTTATTTGTATGGTAATTTTAAATAGATTGTAAGAAGTCAAACTCAATTGCAATAAAGGCATATTTATGTATCTTATAAGTACAAACTCTCAAGTTTTTTAATACTCTAGGCATTGTACTTCATTTGATATTATTAGTTTTATTATTATTATTATTATTATTATTATTATTATTATTATTATTATTATTATTATTATTATTATTATAACTTTGTTGGCTGCAATGATATAAATAGCACATCATGAACATATTAGTTTATTGGGCATCATTTAATTCTTGATCTTATGGAAAATAAAATATAGCTGTACTATTTGTTGATGAGGCTTAATATGTTGTAACTGAAAGTAGAGTTCCTCAAATCTTATGGTCCAAGTAATAACTTATGAATTTTAGAATTTAGTTAACAATCGATATGTGAAATAATAGTAGTTTAATATACATAATTATAAATCTAATTTAGTGCTTTTGCATAAAGAATATCAACATTCACTATCAATTTATCATAGATTATGTTTTGAATGACAATGTAAATATCAATTTCATGGATTGAAAATATCAACTAGCAAATATATTCATTAAACCTCTTGGTTTTGGCCGATTTTATTTGTTACAAAACTTAGTTGGGCATACTTGATATTATGTTTGATCTTAAAATTTATTAAATTATTTATTTGATTTATTTTAGAAAATTAGTCTTGATGTGGTTTTGAATTCATGGATTATAATAGCTCCTAAGCCTCCAAGCTCATGGAAGGAACCCTCATTGCAAAAATGATCCCTTGGGCCTGCATGACTAATGTTTAGTTGCTACTCTAAATGGGTAGCTCCCGGCAAGTAATATTCAGTCATGGGAGCTTTGAGACATCAAAAGATATCCAAAGTAATGAAACTCATTAATTAAGCTCTTTGATGACTTTTAAAAATCCTAGAATAATAGTAAAGGAAAAAAAATGATTAATAGTAAAGGAAAAAAATGATGGGTTCACCCGAGAGGGGCGACAAATGATGTTTGGGTTATTGAAGCAAACATTAAGTAATACAAAAAATGTAATAGCTTAACAAAATATAAAGCCTCTCCTAAGATTGAAACTTTTTTTGTCTGTGCTCACATTTACCATTATGTTATTCATAAATACCTATTTATCATGTTTGATTCATCATCAAAAGGATTTTTGTATAACATGAACACAAAGGTATAGTAAAGTGTGAAAGTCCTAATAATTCACAAAAATCTACTAGGGATTTAATGCACCACAATAAAAATACTATGAAATGAGAGTTGTGTTATAAATTATACCATACAAGTTTATGTCTGTCAAATCATCATAGGTGTTCATTGATGTTATGGCCCTAACACTATATTTTAGAGTAGGCAAGATTATGCATGTTTAATTAGAAGTATTTATAGTTTTAGAATCAAGATCAAAGCTTAGGTCAATGTCAATGTATATAGGATTGCATCAGAATGGTATACTAGTTTATGATTACAAAACAAAGATGAGTCACAATTGTTGCAAATCTGAGTTTATGGATTAGACTTTTGATAATAGCAAACATTCATAATTTTCTACGACTACATTACCTACTAACTTTTCAAGTCCACATGATTGAATGCAACTCAAGCCAACTCAAGATTGGGTAGATTTATGTTGAGTCAGTCTGTGATGTTTTTATTTTTCTTGAGTAAATTGTAAGAGTGGTTCATGATGCTAAGTAACCTTACACACACACACTTGAGGGGTTTTCTAAGTTTTCCTATTTTGAGTATATCGGCCTGGATGATGTTCATATCAGACAGGACGATCCGACTAAAAATAAAAACCCTAATTAGGGCATCATCATGGTTAAGCAGTCGTCATTAAGCCGATCGGCCTAGACGATCCTTGTATCTGCCATGATGATAGACTAAAATCAGAAAGAATCAGCAGCCACGATCAATTTAGGTATACTCGGAGGGCACCTCCGGGGAGTGGATGTTGGTCGAGTTGACCGAACCACTATAAATCTAGTGTGATCTTTCTTTATTTTGATTTCCGTATTTATTTTTCTGCATTTTGATTTCAGTTGTGATTTTGGTTTTAAGTTTAATGCTTTGATTATAAGAAGATTTTTTAAAAATACCAATTCAACCCCTCTTGGTTAGCCTTGGGCCAGTTCTTAAGGGCTTAACACCCTATGAGATCCTTAAAGGTTAGACACCCATCTTTCCCACCTTCATATCTTTGGTTGTAAGGTTTTCATTCACAATAATGGGAAGTATCACTTAGGAAAATTTGACCAAAAATTTGATGAAGGAGTGTTCTTAGGATATTCTAGTGTTGGGAAGTCTTTTAGGGTGTTTAATAAGAGAACTTTGGTGGTGGAAGAAACTACTCATGTAGTATTTGATGAGTCTGATCCTAGAAAGCCTAGAGTTAAGGATGATGATGATGTTGGAGAGATTACCACTGGAGTAGAAAATTTAGAGAAGAGGGTAGAGCACCTGAACACTGAAGGAGTAGGAGAGGTTACCCAAGGAGTAGAAAATATAAATCTGGAGGAAAGGATTGAACCTTCACACACTTTTTCTAGAGATTGGAGATACTCTTTGAGTCACTCTAAATATCTGATCTTAGGCCTTATATGGATTAAAGCAGGCACCTAGAGCTTGGTATGAGAGGCTTAGCATATTCTTACTAAAAAGGGAGTTTGTTAAGGGGAGCGTAGACACCACCCTATTCCTGAGAAAAGTAGGAGATTATTTACTCATTGCTCAGATCTATGTCGATGATATACTTTTTGGATCTTCTAATAAAAGGCTATGTGATGATTTTTCAAAAACATTAAGTAAGGAGTTTGAGATGAGTTTGATGGGAGAGTTGTCCTACTTTTTGGAATTTAGTATAAAACAAATGAATGATGGAACCTTTCTGAATCAATCAAAATACATAAAGGATATCTTGAAAAAGTATGAAATGAACAAAGCCAAGCCAATTAATACTCTCATGTCCTTAGAAATTCAGTTGGACAAAGACCCAAATGGAAAATCAGTTGATCAAAAGAAGTACAGATTGATGATTGGATCTCTACTTAACCTGACTGTGAGCTAACCCGATATAATGTTCAGCATTTGTCTTTGTTCTAGATTTCAAGCTGGTCCTAAGAAATCCAACCGGACTCTAGTTAAGAGAATTCTTAGATACCTTTTAGGGACCCAAAACTTAGGAATCTGGTTCCCCATGCACAGCACTTCTTTTGAGATTATTGGATATTCTGATTCTGATTTTATATGATGTAAGGTAGATAGAAAAAGCACTTTTGGAACTTGTCAATTCATATGACAGTCTTTATCCTCCTCGTCTAGTAGAAAGAAAAACTCTGTTACTCTTTCCACTGCTAAAGCCGAGTACATTGCTTTAGGAAGTTGTGTGGCTCAAGTCCTTTGGTTAAAATAGCAAGTACTAGATTTAGGATTAACTGTAGGCATATCTCAGTTCTTTGTTAAAACACTAGTGTCATCTACATTTCTAAGAATCTTATCCAACATTCAAGGAATAAGTACATTGACATAAGGCATCACTTTATTAGAGACCATGTGACTAAGGGAGACATTGAGTTACACCATGTAGAGACTGAGAATCAACTGGCTGACATATTTACTAAACCACTGGCCTTCGACACTTTCAATACTTTAAGAACCAGATTGGGTGTGATTGACATTAATGCATGAACTTGATCTCTAATAATTTTTTATTAGCTGCTAATTACTTTGCTTTCTTTTGTTAGATTTTTTTGTGTTATTTATTTTTTTATGTTCTCTTTGTTTTTTGATACTTTACTTTTTCTTATGCCATGTTTTTTTTTAATTATCACTGAACTGATATCGTTTGCCTTATTTTTGCCTTTTTAAAAATTTGTAGCCAATGTTTTACATCTCTTAATCAACTAAAGGGTAAAAACACCGTTGATTGTGTTTCTTTCTCTAACCTATTTTGGTGGTGAAATTTTCATTTCTAAACA